TACGATTTTATTGTTTCTTTTGTGAAACAAATGTAAACATTCTATGGCATTAGAAAAAAAAATCTCCTTGGCTCAGAGTTAAAACTTAACTGTTGTGTCTTACAAAAATGTTCATCAAGAGTTCATTCTTGCACATTTTGAAACATTGTGGATAGTTAGTTGTTTCAAAAATGTTAAAGCTTTGGTCCTCAGTATTTGTGCAGAACATATTTGAGAAGTATTGTTCTGTGGCTGTCTTTATTGACATTTTAGACTGTTGACGACATATCCATTTTAACTGTTTATGTATAAGATGGCTATGGTTTGTATTCATGTGTAAGATGGCTGTGGGTAAGTGTTCATGTGTAAGATGGCTGTGGGTAGGTGTTCATGTGTTAGATGGCCATGTTAGGTGTTCATGTGTAAGATGGCTGTGGGTAAGTGTTCATGTGTAAGATGACTGTGGGTAAGTGTTCATGTGTAAGATGGCCATGTTAGTCGTTCATGTGTAAGATGGCCATGTTAGGTGTTCATGTGTAAGATGGCTGTGGGTAAGTGTTCATGTGTAAGATGGCCATGTTAGGTGTTCATGTGTAAGATGGCTATGGGTAAGGTGTTCATGTGTAAGATGGCCATGTAAGGTGTTCATGTGTAAGATGGCTGTGGGTAAGTGTTCATGTGAAAGATGGCCATGTTAGGTGTTCATGCGTAAGGTGGCCATGTTAGGTGTTTCATGTGTAAGATCGCAATGTTAGGTGTTCATGCGTAAGGTGGCCATGTTAGGTGTTCATGTGTAAGATGGCCATGTTAGGTGTTCATGTGTAAGATGGCCATGTTAGGTGTTCATGTGTAAGATGGCTGTGGGTAAGTGTTCATGTGTAAGATGGCCATGTTAGGTGTTCATGTGTAAGATGGCCATGTTAGGTGTTCATGTGTAAGATGGCTGTGGGTAAGTGTTCATGTGTAACATGGACATGTTAGGTGTTCATGTGTAAGATGGCCATGTTAGGTGTTCATGCGTAAGATGGCCATGGTTAGGTGTTCACGCGTAAGATTGACATGTTAGGTGTTCATGTGTAAGATGGCCATGTGAGGTGTTCATGTGTAAGATGGCCATGGTAAGGTGTTCATGTGTAAGATGGCCATGTTAGGTGTTCATGTGTTAGATGGCCATGTTAGGTGTTCATGTTAAAGATGGCCATGTTAGGTGTTCATGTGTAGGATGGCCATGTTAGGTGTTCATGTGCAAGATGGCTGTGGGTAAGTGTTCATGCGTAAGATGGCCATGTTAGGTGTTCATGTGTAAGATGGCCATGTAAGGTGTTCATGTGTAAGATGGCCTTGGTTAGGTGTTCACACGTAAGATGGACATGTTAGGTGTTCATGTGTTAGATGGCCATGTTATGTGTTCATGTGCAAGATGGCTGTGGGTAAGTGTTCATGTGTAAGATGGCCATGTTAGGTGTTCATGTGTAAGATGGCCATGTTAGGTGTTCATGTGTAAGATGGCCATGTTAGGTGTTCATGTGTTAGATGGCCATGTTAGGTGTTCATGTTAAAGATGGCCATGTTAGGTGTTCATGTGTAGGATGGCCATGTTAGGTGTTCATGTGCAAGATGGCTGTGGGTAAGTGTTCATGCGTAAGATGGCCATGTTAGGTGTTCATGTGTAAGATGGCCATGTAAGGTGTTCATGTGTAAGATGGCCTTGGTTAGGTGTTCACACGTAAGATGGACATGTTAGGTGTTCATGTGTTAGATGGCCATGTTATGTGTTCATGTGCAAGATGGCTGTGGGTAAGTGTTCATGTGTAAGATGGCCATGTTAGGTGTTCATGTGTAAGATGGCCATGTTAGGTGTTCATGTGTAAGATGGCCATGTTAGGTGTTCATGTTAAAGATGGCCATGTTAGGTGTTCATGTGTAGGATGGCCATGTTAGGTGTTCATGTGCAAGATGGCTGTGGGTAAGTGTTCATGCGTAAGATGGCCATGTTAGGTGTTCATGTGTAAGATGGCCATGTAAGGTGTTCATGTGTAAGATGGCCTTGGTTAGGTGTTCACACGTAAGATGGACATGTTAGGTGTTCATGTGTTAGATGGCCATGTTATGTGTTCATGTGCAAGATGGCTGTGGGTAAGTGTTCATGTGTAAGATGGCCATGTTAGGTGTTCATGTGTAAGATGGCCATGTTAGGTGTTCATGTGTAAGATGGCCATGTTAGGTGTTCATGTGTAAGATGGCTGTGGTTAGGTGTTCATGCGTAAGATGGCCATGGTTAGGTGTTCACGCGTAAGATTGACATGTTAGGTGTTCATGTGTAAGATGGCCATGGTTAGGTGTTCATGTGTAAGATGGCCATGTTAGGTGTTCATGTGTTAGATGGCCATGTTAGGTGTTCATGTTAAAGATGGCCATGTTAGGTGTTCATGTGTAAGATGGCCATGTTAGGTGTTCATGTGTAAGATGGCCATGTTAGGTGTTCATGTGCAAGATGGCTGTGGGTAAGTGTTCATGTGTAAGATGGCCATGTAAGGTGTTCATGTGTAAGATGGCCTTGGTTAGGTGTTCACACGTAAGATGGACATGTTAGGTGTTCATGTGTAAGATGGCCATGTTATGTGTTCAAGTGTAAGATGGCTGTGGGTAGGTGTTCATGCGTAAGATGGACATGTTAGGTGTTCATGCGTAAGATGGACATGTTAAGTGTTCATGTGTTAGATGGACATGTTAGGTGTTCATGCGTAAGATGGCCATGTTAGGTGTTCATGTGTAAGATGGCTGTGGGTAGGTGTTCACGCGTAAGATGGCCATGTTAGGTGTTCATGTGTAAGATGGCCATGCTAGGTGTTCATGCGTAAGATGGCCATGTTAGGTGTTCATGCGTAAGATGGCCATGCTAGGTGTTCATGTGTAAGATGGCCATGTTAGGTGTTCATGTGTAAGATGGCCATGTTAGGTGTTCATGTTAAACAAGCCATGTTAGGTTTTCATGTGTAAGATGGCCATGTTAGGTGTTCATGCGTAAGATGGCCATGCTAGGTGTTCATGTGTAAGATGGCCATGTTAGGTGTTCATGTTAAAGATGGCCATGTTAGGTGTTCATGTGTAAGATGGCCATGTTAGGTGTTCATGTTAAACAAGCCATGTTAGGTTTTCATGTGTAAGATGGCCATGTTAGGTGTTCATGCGTAAGATGGCCATGCTAGGTGTTCATGCGTAAGATGGCCATGTTAGGTGTTCATGTGTAAGATGGCCATGTTAGGTGTTCATGTGTAAGATGGCCATGTTAGGTGTTCATGTTAAAGATGGCCATGTAAGGTGTTCATGTGTAAGATGGCCATGTTAGGTGTTCATGTGTAAGATGGCCATGCTAGGTGTTCATGTTAAAGATGGCCATGTTATGTGTTCATGTGTAAGATGGCCATGTTATGTGTTCATGCGTAAGATGGCCATGGTTAGGTGTTCACGCGTAAGATGGACATGTTAGGTGTTCATGCGTAAGATGGCTATGGTTTGTATTCATGTGTAAGATGGCTGTGGGTAGGTGTTCACGTGTAAGATGGCCATGTGAGGTGTTCATGTGTAAGATGGCCATGTTAGGTGTTCATGTGTAAGATGGCCATGTTAGGTGTTCATGTTAAAGATGGCCATGTTAGGTGTTCATGTGTAAGATGGCCATGGTTAGGTGTTCATGCGTAAGATGGCCATGGTTAGGTGTTCACGCGTAAGATGGACATGTTAGGTGTTCATGCGTAAGATGGCTATGGTTTGTATTTATGTGTAAGATGGCTGTGGGTAGGTGTTCATGTGTAAGATGACCATGTGAGGTGTTCATGTGTAAGATGGCCATGTTAGGTGTTCATGTGTAAGCTGGCCATGTTAGGTGTTCATGTGTAAGATGGCCATGTTAGGTGTTCATGTGTAAGATGGCCATGTTAGGTGTTCATGTGTAGGATGGCCATGTTAGGTGTTCATGTTAAAGATGGCCATGTTAGGTGTTCATGTGTAAGATGGCCATGTTAGGTGTTCATGCGTAAGATGGCCATGCTAGGTGTTCATGCGTAAGATGGCCATGTTAGGTGTTCACGCGTAAGATGGACATGTTAAATGTTCATGTGTCAGATGGCCATGGTTAGGAGTTCATGCGTAAGATGGACATGTTAGGTGTTCACGCGTAAGATGGACATGTTAGGTGTTCACGCGTAAGATGGACATGTTAAATGTTCATGTGTCAGATGGCCATGGTTAGGTGTTCATGTGTAAGATGGCCATGGTTAGGTGTTCACGCGTAAGATGGACATGTTAGGTGTTCATGCGTAAGATGGCTATGGTTTGTATTCATGTGTAAGATGGCAATGGTTAGGTGTTCACGCATAAGATGGACATGTTAGGTGTTCATGTGTAAGATGGCTATGGTTTGTATTCATGCGTAAGATGGCCATGGTTAGGTGTTCATGCGTAAGATGGACATGTTAGGTGTTCACGCGTAAGATGGCCATGTTAGGTGTTCATGTGTAAGATGGCTGTGGGTAGGTGTTCATGCGTAAGATGGACATGTTAGGTGTTCATGTGTAAGATGGCCATGTTAGGTGTTCATGTGTAAGATGGCCATGTTAGGTGTTCATGTTAAAGATGGCCATGTTAGGTGTTCATGTGTCAGATGGCCATGTTAGGTGTTCATGTGTAAGATGGCCATGGTTAGGTGTTCATGCGTAAGATGGCTGTGGGTAGGTGTTCATGTGTAAGATGGCTGTGGGTAGGTGTTCATGCGTAAGATGGCTGTGGGTAGGTGTTCATGCGTAAGATGGACATGTTAGGTGTTCATGTGTAAGATGGCAATGTTATGTGTTTATGTGTAAGATGGCCATGTGAGGTGTTCATGTTAAAGATGGCCATGTTATGTGTTCATGTGTAAGATGGCCATGTTAGGTGTTCATGTGTAAGATGGACATGTTTGGTGTTCATGCGTAAGATGGCTGTGAAGAAGTGTTCATATGTAAAATGTTGTTACTTGCCAGGAAGCTGAAGATGGCCATTGAGGAGTTCACAACACGAGTTGGTCAGCAGGCTGTCATTGTCTGCTGTACTCCAGGCAAAGGGACCAAGTCAGTCCAGTCGTTCAAAGTGTTCGGTTCACAGCCTCTTGAGAGTGTGGTGAGCTGTCTACTCATCACAGATACTTGCTTTTGGATTGTCAGTCAATGGGACTTACAGTTGTAATATTTTTGTGTCTTATGATGGAAAACATTGATTTATGAAATGATCAATAAATTTTATGCTTCCTAACATAGTGAATGATTTTAAGATTTCAATCATTGTAACATCTCATTATTCCTGTCACATAGAGTTTCAAAATCAATGAGGGCACTGCTTCCTCGATTGTCCAGTGTATTGTGTCTCCATTCTATGATGATGAATACCCTGGACCTGTTAACTACCATAGCTTCATTTAGGAAGTCATTTCACTATCTCTAGTACCTCGTCACAGAGATCCTCTCCCTCATGAGAGTAATGTGATTGGACAGCCATTTATAGCATTGTCCCAGATAAACAAACAAAGCTGTGGTAGCGAAAGGGCACCAAGTATTTATTACAGTAGAATGGAGATACAGTACACTGGGCCACGAGGATGGGGATTATGTGGTCCTTGATCTTTTCTGTTGCGTCTCGGAATCCTCTCAATCTTTTAACTTTTGACAATAGGGTTATAAGAAAGGCCCCTTGATTTTCATGCTTCATCTGGAGCACTGACAAACAGGACTCCTAAAATGGTTTTGAAAAGACATATAACTGATAATACTAAATTGTTATAATATCATAGTATTTACTGCAATGTTATTTTTCAGATGCGCAACTGTCGCAACATGATTCTCCAGGACCTTGAGACAGCCCTTGCAGAGCAAGTTATGCCGCAGATGGAGAACTCCAGCATACATGACTTACCTCCCTTGTGTATTGATGGCATCCCCACGCCAGTTGATAAGATGACTCAGGTAGAGGCACTACTGGGGAACTCTGGGATATAATAGACATGATATACCCCTTGTATCTTATCATCATCACAAAGGCAAACTTAAGCATGGTAAAGGAGGATTGGGTTATAAGAATGTTTGACCTGACTGATTGGGCGTCGTCATTCCCCAACAACATGGATGTTTTGCTCATGCTGTCATCTTCAGAATTGCCAAGACTATAATATTTACAGACTTGTGTGACATTAAATGGACATTTCTTAATGAAGCATAGGATTTCATTCACCCTCTCACGCTTAATTTTCTAGACATACATTGATAAATACTTGAAAGTACTTTACTACCTAAAAGTTTTGTTTAATGTGCCATTCTCTGTGACTGACAATCTCAACAGATTGAAACTGTTTGTTGTGCCTCAGGCCCAGCTGCGAGCCTTCATCCCACTCATGCTGAAGTATTCCACTGGGCGGGGTAAGCCTGGGTGGGGCAAACCTGAACACCGCCCAATCTGGTGGCCAGAGGATCTGCCCTGGGCCAATGTCCGCAGTGATGCTCGCACAGAGGAACAGAAGCAGAAGGTATTAGGCTTTCACTTGCCGGTGCAAGTTCAGATTTACAAGTTCTGTTTGTAGATACATATACCCCAATACAATGAAAATTTGTAGCAGATACTTATTGTGATTGTATTATGTTGTGTGTAGAGAAACAGCCTTGAACATCATGGTAGAATGTCACATGCTCCTAACTGGAAATGAATGATGATCTAATAGCGTCTTCTGTACTCTTTTGCCCAACATGACATCCATGACATCAACTGTTGGAAGACACGCCCCTTATATGTCATTAATCTCTTCTTCGCTACCAACGAAGGATGTGAGAGATGATCACTTACCTGATTCCCAAAGAATCTATCTTTTGATGCTTGTGTTTCAAACTGTTCTGAGTTTGTTTGGTGTATTATCCATCCTTGTTACCTCAGCAGACTAGGGTATTCAGTGTTTCCTACGCATGGTAGTAATTTCCATGCATCTACCGCGGCTCGTGGTGTTTCATGTTGGCCGCAGTTTTCTCCCTTGTTCCCATTTGGCGCAAACATTTCTCATCGACAAGACCCCTGTTAAAATGTGAATGTTTTCGCTTTTGTTGCAGGTTTCCTTCATATTATCGATTTATTTAACATGTTTGCCTTGTCAAATATGTTTTTACTCACTCAAAATGTTTTCACTGTGACGTCATATCATAGTTCAAATGTCTAGACTTGAGCAGGCTTTTAGATTGTCTTTTGGGTTTACCCTGTATTTCCATGTTACAGATGTTTGCTGCAAATGTGATCTCTGTGAAGGCAAGAAATCAGCGAAGGACCCTCAGACTCAGTATTTCCCATCCTGAAAGTGTCCCTCTTTCTGATGGATACTTCCTTACCTATCTCAGAGTAGTTAACAAAAGGAAACGACAACAGGCTTGTCGCAGGATGTCTGTCCTTTCCACTGCTGCATCATCACCTTGTTATGATAGGATGGTCGAGCCCAAGCCTAAGACTTCCACCAAGTCAGACAAGCCGCCGTTGCTTTCAGCAGTGGTGCTTCCAGCAGTGGCACTTCTAGTGATGCCTCAAGTAGTAGTGCCTCCTCATTCAAGTGCAGAGGATGAGCCTCCTGCCTGGGCGCTTGACCTCATCAGACAATTCCATTCTCTATCCACTGAGGTAACAGCTAGCAAGGATACGAGGCACTCGCATAGATCCCTTAGGTCTACGCCATATAGCGCCTCAGACTCAAGGCAGAGATCAGTTATGCCTCCCCTTCTTCTTTCCGTCACTCTAGGAAGTTGGGTACCATCTTCTGAGCTAGACTATGACGAAGAGGAACCAGATGTCTGCCTCAGCGTTTCAGCTGTGCTGTGACTTTCTACTGGCAGCGGCATCACCCACGAAGGGAGCAGACCCCAGTGACACATGGAGGGAGGACGCCTGGAGACAATTACTCTGCCACCAGACCCCTTCATCCAAGAGGCATGGTTGATATAGACAAGGATTTCTTGGCGTTAGACAGTCATTCAACTTTTCGACCACCTAAGCATGCCAAGAAGCAACCAGTACATGGCCAGGCCTACGTGGAAAAGGTGCTCTCCCTGGACAAGGAATTGTCCAGAATGACTGGCTCTTCCAGAGTTGGATCCTTCAAGTTCACAGATCCCCAGACCTCGTACCTAGGTAGGGAATTACGGAAGACGCTTTCCCACCTGTCGGCTTTGGCGTCGTCCTTTGCAGCCATGGACGTGTGTTTGGGTGAACACCCTACTGACGAGAGGCTGTGAAGAGAATTGAGGACAGACAAGCCAAACTTTCTTGTAAGACGACGAAAGAGAATTTCAGCACTGGTCCAGATGCTTACCAGCCACATTGTAATTTCACCAAAAGAGCTAATAAAAGACCTGACAATGATTCCAACCGTGGAGACCAACCAGGTTTCTCTAGGAGGAGGGGCCATAGGTAGTGACTCCCCAGAGGGCAGACGTGACTGTGATCTTTCCCCCCTGTCCACGCCTCACCAGTAGGGGGGAAGACTGTCCCCGTTTTGGGGCAGAACTGGACTCTTGGGGACTAATAAATATATTAAAACACAGGTACAAACGCATTCTCATAGAGCCCCCCCCCCACCGCCAGCATCAACATCAACACCTTGCTGGAAAAGAAGGCCATAGAGGAACAGGACCAACAAGAGCTGACACCAGGGTTCTACCCCCAGTGTTTTCTGTCCCCAAGAAGAATTCAACAAAGCTTTGCATGATTCACAACATGAAGGTGTTCAACTGGTGCTATTTCTAATCTCCACTATGGTTCAGATGACCACGTTGGAGCTGCTGCACATGTTGGTCAGTCTAGGCAACCACCTCATATCTCCTTCTGTCGGGAGCAAGTTAGTGGACTACTTGCTATTACTGAGAGTAAAGAAACATCTAAAGGATAGTACGATAGATGTACCTGTCTGCCATCACCACCGTGTGCGCTGTTGCCCAAGACAGGAAGCTGTCCATGATACCGCAGTTGATGGCTATTATAAGAAGTTTCAGGTTGGAGGTCCAGAAGTTTAAGTTCCATGCTCCAGCATTAGACTTGAACGTCAGACTCGGGCACTTCAGCCAACGTTCCTATGAACCACTGGACAGGGCCTCCTATCAAAACCTGACTCAGGAGTCCATCTTCCTACTAGCTCTAGCTACAGCAGCTAGGGTTAGCTTGTTGTAGTGAGAACACCATCTCCTTCTGGCTAATCCTGCAGGCCTATGACGCAGCAGAATTGGAGCACCCCAGGCGCTGGCTTCAACCATAGATCTCCATGGAGTTTGTTCCATCCAATCCATTTTGCAGGGATCCTTCGGGAAATCTTCCACTGTCTTCAAGAGCCATTACCTCCCAGGATGTGTCTGTGGAAGACGTGGATGGCATGCAGAGTTTTGGGATGTTGGTAGTCTATCAGCAGATCGCCAACCCCAACAAATGCCGGTAGCCTGCAATGTAGCCTACCCGCATGCCCCCTAGGTCAGACCGTTCCCAGGTTTGAGGAGGGAAGGAGTTGTAGTAAGCAGTAGTAAGTTTATCTAAACTCTTGGTTTAGTTTTCTGTTTACTGGGTTGCGATTACACTTTTACAGCAAGATTCCGGGACTCGCTTATCCAACATTAAGCTACCAGGTAGATCTCCTAGAGGGAAATGAAAGTTATGTCTGGTTGTTTATGTGTGCTACTGTTGCAGATGCTCGCTGCAGAAGAGTAACAGACTAACCACCTCGGGCAAGCCCAACCTACAGGACCACTCTACGAGATGCCATGACACATGACAGCTATCCTAGCACTGGACTGAAGGTACAACCGCCTTTCATCAGATAAAGTGCAGTGTGTAATGCAGGATAAATTAAGAATATTACATAATCAGAGTATTATGTCTATTTTATATACTTATCCTGCATTACCCAAGGGCCCTCCTCCTGTGACAGACGTCTTCCTCCCTGCTGTACTGTCAGTCCTGAGGGAAGTATGGGAAGACAATAATGACCTATAGGGGGCGTGTCTTCCGACACCAGATGTCACGGAAGTCATGTTGGGCAACAGAGTACTGAAGATGCTACTCATAGCATAGATAGTCATTCATTTCCAGTTAGGACTTTATTAGTATAAGTTGTGTGCAATATTTAATGCAGGATAAGTATATACAATAGACATGTAACTCTGATTACATGTTTTTGCTCTGTTCCTTATGTACTTGATGGTCATCGCTGTTCTTGTTTCAGGTTTCTTGGACCGAGGCACTCCGCACCATTGTAAAAAATTGTTATAAAAATCATGGCCGTGAAGATCTGCTTCACATCTTCAATGATGAAGGAACATCCACGCAACAGGCTCAGCCCCAGTATGCTGCAGCCATGAATGGAACCTTGCTTCAGACAGTCAACAACCCAGACGGCTCTGTCTCCATCATACAAATAGACACAACCACTCCAGGCAGTGTCGTCACTCTGCCTGATGGAACACAAGCCACTGTGGTACACGCGGTAAGTCAACACACAGAAGACTTGATAGTTTGCCTGCAACACTCCAGTCACTCCAGTCAGTCCTGATGGAACACAGGCTATAAGAGACAACCACTAGTCCTGACACTCATGACAATCTGGAAGGACTACCACAATCTACATAAGTTCTTATGAGCTTATATCACTTATGATGCTACCTTTCAAGTCTTGTTAATAATGGTCTACCATGCAGTGATTATATTTTTTTTAGCAAACAAATTTGTCTGATGAGGAGACAAAGATACATGACCACCATGATCTCAGTTTGTACATATGTACTGTTCAGGGAGAAGCTCTGACTTCACGTTAACATTGTTCCCATTGCAGCAAGTTCACAGCAGTCAGCAGCAGCAGCAGCAGCAGGAGACAGCTCAGGCAGTGCACACACTTGCTGATGGTTCCATTGCTCAGGGAGACCAAGTCCATATGAACTCTCTCAGTCTGGATATGACGGACAGCCACGCCCAGCAGGCTGTTGCTCTTCACGGGGCCTCACTCGGTCAGGATCATCAGCTGGTGCTCACTGGGGACACAAATCTTTGTGCAACAGATTCAGGTCAGGCAGTTCTATCCAAATGTGACGAATCAGTTGAACACTTAATACTGTAACTGAAAATCAGGAAATACAATGCGAGCATGAAATTAATGATACAAATGCAAGTGTCCCTCCCATATATAAAGTAAAGCATTTTATCTGATGTTGGAGTTTCGATTCACTGCACATTGACGGAAACCATGACATAGATAACAAAGCTGACAATAAACAATGCAGTTGAGCTCCAGATTTAGACTCTGCTTCTCACCAAGTTCCAAAACAGTCATTCTCTTTCAGATTAAATCCTCCTTGGGGCACTTATTGCATTTTCCTTGCTCAAGAAAATCTACATGACATAGTTGTAACCATTTTCCTTAATAAAAAATGTTACCACACAAAAAACAACGTTTTTGTATGATATATGACCACCCCAACGGGGCCTCACCCTCTACAGGCGACACACGCCAAGGGGAGCGACTCTTACCTAAATCCCTTTTCCTTATGTCATCTGACAGTGCAGATGTACGTCAAGACTCTAGAGAAATTCACTTCATCCAACTTATCGTTGATACCGAAGACATGGCTCAGACTGTATGTGTGGTATATTTCCTTTTCTTTCTTGCAAAGGCGTAATTCCTCGCATTTTATAGTTTTTTATATGTTGTAACTTGGCCGCCACATGCACGTGCCACGTTCGTTTCACGTAATGGCGGCTGCTGTGTAGCTTATTCTGTTCTGATAAATTCCATGTTTGTGTACAACCGACATGTTTTTTTTTATCTTAACATTATTTCACTACATTGTTTCCGTTTCAACCCGGCTGTAACTTTAAAAAGTGCCCTACGGGCGCAAGTTACTGTGTGGTTATTTCCACTCGGGGGGGGGGGAGGTTTACTACGCTCCCTTTGTATGTTAGGAATGTATACACGGCCTTGGCTATCGATATCGTGTGTCGCATTTTTGTTTCACCTTTGCGTATGTTGTGTTGTAATTATGCATGTATCTTTCTGCAATTTCACAATTCGCACTGATACATATTCCCCCCGTTCCCCATCTGTTTAGTTTTAACGGTCTGTTGCAGACTTTAAAAGTTTGTATGGGAGGCAACGCATAATACCACCGCAAGATCCGCACCCTAAATGCATTCGCTGCTTGATGGAAGATGGCCACGATGATCAGTCGTGCATCATATGTGAAAGCGACGGCACGCTGACTTGATTCATTTTGCGGGGTTATTGGAGGCAGGGGTAGATATACTTTCGGCGAAATTGCACACCCCCCCCCCCCCCCCCAGGCAGTCAAAGGTTAAGAGCAAGAAGACCAAATCTTCCACCCCGGTTCCTTCCACCTCCACTGCGCCTTAATCGCAGTCCGGGGGTGAAGGCTCTCGGGTTCCCGAGGTTCCCCCCTCCCCTGCACCTATTAACCTTGCTGATATTTCGGCGCTTCTGCGGTCGCAGATGGCGTCGATGTTAGAGGATGTCAAGTCCCAGCTCCAAGAGGAGCTGCGGGCGGGGCTTCCCCGTGCGTTGGCGTCGGATGCGGCCGCGGGGCCTCGTGGAATGCCCGGCGTCGGCCGTGGCAGGCCACTTGGCCTCGGGGACGACTCGCGTCCAGGCTTCGGCTCGAGTCACATCAATGTGCTGGAACTGAGAGCGGTCAGGTTGGTGTTCCAACGCTTCTTGGATCTGCTTCGTGGCCAGGTGGTTTCGTCTAGAAATGGACAACCTGACGGCGATGACTTACATCCGGGAGCAGGGGGGAATGGTGTCTCCGTCGCTTCTCCAAGAGACGTGGCAGTTCCTCCTATGGTGCGACCTTCATGCTATCAGGGTGATACCTGTTTATCTCCCGGGGGTGGACAACGTCTGTGCGGCTGCTCTGTCTCGCCGGATCATCGCCTCTCACGAGTGGAGGCGCGACCCGGGGATATTCGGGATTATCTCCCGAATATCAGGTTGTTCCAGGTGGATCTGTTTGCATCTGGGGTGAACCACCAAACACCAGTGTTCTGCTCCCGTGTCCCCGACCCGAGGTCAGCGTCACCGGACGCCTTCCAGCTAGATTGGATGGACAGAGTTCTGTGGGCCTTCCCACCAGTTCCTATGATTCCCAGGGTCCTTTCTCAGCTAGCCACTCAGCCTGCGAGGCTTCTTGTGCTACTGGCACCGCTTTGGTCGGCACAGAGTTGGTTTCCCGTAATACTCAGGTTTCTGGCTCAGCCTCCTGTTCTATTACCTTAACGCCCGGACCTCCTATCCCAGAACGGGGCACTCCACCCGAATCCCAGGATTCAGTGGAAGGCTTGGCCACTGTCAGGTCCTCCTTGTGACTTGTCAATCGTTCTTGATTGGCTGTCCGGTCCTTCCTTTTGGGATCTGTCGTCTCTCTCTCTTCAGCTGTTGAGCTGGAAGGCGGCGTTCCTTGTGGCGGTGACGTCAGGTAGACGGATAGGCGACATTCACGCAATGTCCACTGATCCTGAGCTGACCGTCTTTCACCAGGTCAGTATTCGCCTACCGGACTCTTACCGTCCCAAGGTCGCACACGCTTTCCACGTGATGGCTCCTATCGAGCTACCTGCTCTTTCACAGCCTTCCTCGTCGGGGACCTCTGCAAGACATGCTCATGTCTTGGATGTCCCCAAGATTCTCAAGGTCTATATCAGCAAGACTAAGGATATCCGTAAGGATAACCAATTATTCTGCTGTTACGGCGGTGGGAAGGCTGGCTCCCCTGCGAGCAAACAATCTATTTCCCGGTGGATTGTTTCTGCTATTTGTTCGGCTTATACGAACAAAGGGAGGGACCCCCCTGAGGGGTTGAAGGCTCATTCGGTTAGGTCATTCGGTTTCTTGGCTTTGTAATGCTCTGTCTCCTCTTTTCTCTCCGTGAATGACGATTCTTTGGTAGCCATTACTAATCGATAATGCACTCGTTTTGCACCACCACTCGCTCAATCCTACAGGACCCTGAAGCCTGCCTAGCTACCAGTGATTATTGTCCCCGTTATCACTTGTACAAAAGTGTGTGTGGGGGGTCGTTCTTGAGTTTATCACTTGTTTTATGATAAAGCCCACTACTGCAGCTTTTTTCATAGCGTATGGTCAGACCACGCCCTGTCTCAAGTCCCCACCTCTCGACGGTGGTGCCTCACAATAAGGTGGGTTCCATTTATTGAATTCTCTATAGTCTTGTAAAACGATGTGTTTATTTATGCTTGTTGCAGACAGATGCCACTTCCTTTATTAGCTTTAGGAGTCTATCTTGATGCAATAAGTGCCCCAAGGAGGATTTAATCTGAAAGAGAATCGTACAAACCTGTAGAGGTTATGGATTCTCTGATGAAATCCTCCTTGGGGCACGGCCGCCCTCCTCCCCACATTCCGTCTGCTATGAGACATTGGAAAAGTGATTTGGGTGAGAGTTGCTCACCTTGGCGTGTGTCGCCTGTAGAGGGTGAGGCACCGTTGGGGTATCATATATCATACAAAAACGTTGTTTTTTGTGTGGTAACATTTTTTATTAAGGAAAATGGTTGCAACTATGTCATGTAGATTTTCTTGAGCAAGGAAAATGCAATAAGTGCCCCAAGGACGATTTCATCAGAGAATCAATAACCTCTACAGGTTTGTATGAGGTTTTTTTACACAAATTAATCAAGCGGCTATAACAGTTGCCAACTGTCTTTAACATCGCCTTTGTTCTTGTCAAATAGTTCTTTATTTACAGACCGCCTCCGTGGTCTAGTGGTAGAGCGTCCACCCCGAGAGTGGAAGGTCCGGGGTTCGATCCCCGGCCGCATCATATCAAAAGACATTTAAAGATGGTACTTGTTGTTACCCTGTCTGACGTTCGGCAAGTCGAAGGAAATGCGAATATTAACGACTTGTATTGTGACCACTGAGCTATAGTGATTTTTTTATTATTAAACAATGAATCATGTGATTAACCACCGGTCCTGGTAGTATTGTTGGTACCCGGCTTCTACTTAGGACCCACTCGACTTGAGTAGCTGAGTTACCGTCCCAGCCCTGCTTGTAACAATAGTTGGAACCTGGAGAATCATCGTTAGTAACCTGACCTATCCCATTTGAATATGCCTTGTTTGAAATTCCTGCTTGTATTTTATCGAAGTTAGATTCCCATGTCAAGCAGTTGAAGTTTAGTTTCATTAGACCTATTTGTCGACACCTCTCTCCAAGGCTGGGGAGCACATCTGTATGGTCAAGTCACCTTGGAGCTGTGTTCTGCCACTTAGCAACAGTGGCACACCAACAACCTAGAACTGGAGGCACTTATCTAGATCTTCACCAACCCATGCTTGCCGTAAAAGGCGACTATGCTTGTCGTAAGAGGCGACCTGCGTGATCGTGTGGTCAGGCTCAGTGACTTTGTTTATGCATGTCATCCTGTCCCAATTGCATGGATCGATGCTCATGATGTCAATCACTGGATTGTCTGGTCCAGACTCAATTATTTACAGACTGCCGTCATATAGCTGGAATATTGCTGAGCCCGGCATTAAACAACAAACAAACAGTTCAAGGTCCAACACATCCCAGGCTGCTGCATCATCCTTGCAGATGCCCTCTCCAATCCAGACAAGTTAGCTCCCACAGAGCTTGTCTGTCAACACCTTGGTGATCCCAAAGTCGACCTGTTTTCCACCATCCAGAACTTCCAGCTCTGGACCTTCATCTCTTCCGTGCTGGATCCACAAGTCCGGGCAGTCAATGCCTTTAGCATTCCCTGGTAAGGACTAAAAGTGTACGCTTTTCCTCCACCAGTGTTCCTTCCCAGGGTCCTTCAAAAGATCAGGTCAACCCAGCCGCTTGCTCTGACTTTGATAGTGCTGTGGAGGTCGCCGTGAGGCTGGTTTGTGGACCTCAGGAAAATCTCCTCCACCAACCCCCTCAAACTTTCAGACTGGCCAAACTGATCCCCCCTCACAGCAGATCCACCTGGCTACAGACAGGTTACATCTTCACGCATGGTCCATCTACAAAGAGCCCTAAGCCCCAAGGGTTACTCGGAAAGGGCAGCAAAAGCCATCACCTTCCTCATAGACCTTCCACCAGGGGCCTCTATGACAACACGTGGCGCTCCTTTGAGAGTTTCTGCAAGGACACATCAGGATCCCGCCTCTGCTTCACCCCAGTTCTTGGGTGAATCTCTTCGCCTGAATCTGTTTCTGCGCCACAAGCGTTGTTAAGGGCAGCACCCTCATGACCTACCTTGTCCTTAACTCCGTCTTGGCAGTCCCGGAAGATCGAAAGATGACCAAGATTCCGTAACTCTGGAAGATCAGACCTGGGATCTGAACGTGGTTCTTACCCTGCTAAGAGGCGCACCCTTTGAGCCACTCCACTCAACATCTTCCTACAACCTCACCGAGAAGACGATCTTCCCTTGGATCTGGCAACACATCACCTGAGTGAGATTTTGAGCGCAGAGCACATGGAGCTGTTCAGTTTGGGCTGCGCTGGGACTTATTAGCCAAGAATCAACTCCCAGGACAGCCCGATAGATCCTTCACCATCCCTCTCCTATCTTCGATAGTGGGGGTTGAACATAAACAAGAACTTGAGGAGTAATGCAGGATAGGTTAAAAAATCTAGGAAAATCTAGATATTTTTTATATTTGCATACTTATCCTGCATTACTTCATCTAAAGTGGCCCACCCGTCGCAGAGCTGCCTCCCCACGATGTCTTCAGATGCTCTGTTTTTAGCAGTAATGTGCTGATCAGTGACATCACCCCTTCCCGTCACAAGGGAGCTGTGTGATAGGGTTAGCCACTCAACCAGTTGGAACAACTTCTTCTTCAGCAAGACCTCTCACAGCTCTTTCTCTCTGTCAAGAACAAGCAGCAAATGCATTAAGTAGTAATGCAGGATAAGTATACAAATATAAAAAATATTGTTTACTTGTTAATTTTTCTCGGGCGGTCGGGTAGCCTAGTGGTTAAAGCGTTCGATCGTCACGCCGAAGACCCGGGTTCGAATCCCGACATGGGTACAATGTGTGAAGCCCATTTCTGGTGTCCCCCGCCGTGATATTGCTGGAATATTGCTAAAAGCGGCGTAAAACCAAACTCACTCACTCACTGTAAATTTCTCTAGTTCAGAGAGCCTTTTTGTACTGTCCATGTTTGTTATAGCTGCCATAGATATTCCAGGTAGAATAGGTCCCCAACAAACTATGCTTGTTGTAACAGGTTACTAATACGATTAAGTGATCAGGTTCAGTAACTTGGTTTATTACATGTCATCTTATCCCAATGGCGTTGCATGCTGCTCATTATATCAATCACAACAAAACTAGCCGTGATGTTTACTTCAGATTTTAACAAAGACCTTCTTTATTGCAGGTGTTGTGACTATTCCAGTGTCCCTCTACCAACTAGTCCATCCCAACGTGAACCTGTCAGGATCCCAGCTGGCCCAGTCACAACCAGGCATGCACTTGTCCACATGTAAAGATACAAGCAGCATGTCACTCCAGCCTGTTGAGGTCATGTCAGTCAGTCAGACAGGGGACACATGACCAGTCTGATGGCAGTGATGACATACAATCTCATGCGAGTGCTGAAACATCTTGTCAATGCTCAAACAGTGATGTTTCACAAACCCAGACCATGCTCCTCCCTTGTGTACAGATGTATATGTTAACATGGCTTAGCTGTGTGATGGCCGACCCAGGGAGCCTTGTGCTACAACTACAGGACATGTCCCTGGACACTGCACCATACTGGTTGTGAACGTATAAACTGTATGTGGATAGCTCAGTGTAGTGGGGCCACACTGACAGCAGCAGAACTGATGATACAGATGACAGTAGGGAACAACTGCATTGTTTTCTCTTCAATGCACAGATGCAACACAACAGTACTTGCTTTCTGTTTCAGTGATCAAGATTTTGCAAGTTCTATTGCTGTATCTCAGATTTCCAATAGGTTTCAGTAGAGGTCCAGTTAGACAGCTGGTATGTAGTCAGTAGTACCACACACTCCTACTTCAGCATCTAAGTCCTGACCCAGTTAGACAGCTTGTATGTAGTCAGTAGTACCACACACTCCTACTTCAGCATCTAAATCCTGACCCAGTTAGAGAGCTTGTATGTAGTCAGTAGTACCACACACTCCTACTTCAGCATCTAAATCCTGACCCAGTTAGAGAGCTTGTATGTAGTCAGTAGTACCACACACTCCTACTTCAGCATCTAAATCCTGACCCAGTTAGACAGCTGGTATGTAGTCAGTAGTACCACACACTCCTACTTCAGCATCTAAGTCCTGACCCAGTTAGAGAGCTTGTATGTAGTCAGTAGTACCACACACTCCTACTTCAGCATCTAAATCCTGACCCAGTTAGAGAGCTTGTATGTAGTCAGTAGTACCACACACTCCTACTTCAGCATCTAAGTCCTGCCTCAGTTAGACAGCTTGTATGTAGTCAGTAGTACCACACACTCCTACTTCAGCATCTAAGTCCTGCCCCAGTTAGACAGCTTGTATGTAGTCAGTAGTACCACACACTCCTACTTCAGCATCTAAGTCTTGCCCCAGTTAGAGAGCTTGTATGTAGACAGTAGTACCACACACTCCTACTTCAGCATCTAAGTCCTGCCCCAGTAGACAGCGTGTATGTAGTCAGTAGTACCACACACTCCTACTTCAGCATCTAAATCCTGACCCAGTTAGAGAGCTTGTATGTAGTCAGTAGTACCACACACTCCTACTTCAGCATCTAAATCCTGACCCAGTTAGAGAGCTTGTATGTAGTCAGTAGTACCACACACTCCTACTTCAGCATCTAAGTCCTGCCTCAGACAGCTTGTATGTAGTCAGTAGTACCACACACTCCTACTTCAGCATCTAAATCCTGCCCCAGTTAGACAGCTTGTATGTAGTCAGTAGTACCACACACTCCTACTTCAGCATCTAAGTCTTGCCCCAGTTAGAGAGCTTGTATGTAGACAGTAGTACCACACACTCCTACTTCAGCATCTAAGTCCTGCCCCAGTTAGACAGCTTGTATGTAGTCAGTAGTACCACACACTCCTACTTCAGCATCTAAGTCCTGCCCCAGTTAGACAGCTTGTATGTAGTCAGTAGTACCACACACTCCTACTTCAGCATCTAAGTCCTGCCTCAGTTAGACAGCTTGTATGTAGTCAGTAGTACCACACACTCCTACTTCAGCATCTAAGTCCTGCCTCAGTTAGACAGCTTGTATGTAGTCAGTAGTACCACACACTCCTACTTCAGCATCTAAGTCCTGCCCCAGTTAGACAGCTTGTTGTTTTCACACCTATAGTTGTCAGTTTTCAAGATTTTGATCTTCTATTTATTGATGATGAGCTGGAATATCATGATAAAAGGACCCTTATCCCAGCTAAATGCTGACAAGGTGGTCACATTACAGAGAGCCTTCCCCATACTAATAGCATAAATATGATACTGTTTGTAACCAGATGGGCTGATTTACCATACTCCCAACAGTGGTGAGTACATTTCACTGCAAATATTTGCATTATAGGTGCTGTTTTAAAAAGGGGACACATATCTTTCTTGGAAGATCCAGGTATAATGTTGGGACTTGTGATGAATGTTCTGCTTTGACATTTCAGAATCTTGCATCCTTGTTCTTAAGTTCAATGATCAAGCTCAGCCTACTGTTGGGCTCAATCAATGGTCTCAGTACATTTACTCAATACATTCGATATTGCCAAATTGCTTTCATTAAGTTTGTGATGGTAAAATGGTGAAAAAGATACTGTGTGATCAATTTGTTTAATTTCCATTTACAATTTGAAAGCAAATTAAAATTCCAGGTTTATCTCCTAAACTATCTATCTGGATGATCATGTATGTGCATGTTGAGAATGTTCTGAGGCTTGAACAGTCAGAAATCTTGTTATCTATTGTTAATGTAGCAGTTTGCACAAAGGATACAGGGATGGGCCTTACTCATCCGACAACCATACAGAAATGTATAGTGGGATGTGAACTCTTCACCTCATCTGCAGAAACAAAGATAATAGTGACACCAGACAGGACTGTACATCATTGCTGTTATACCACTCAGACAGATAAATACATCCTACAGTTGAGGTTTGAGAATGGGTCCTCATAGGAATGATTTCTGTCTATGTGACATGTTATCGATCAGTGACAGTCTTATCCCTAGTACATGTAGTAGAGCCTCCCTGCAGATCTACCGGTATGTGATAACATGGTAATATCTAGTCGTAAGCTGATCTGTGACTTGTGTCCAATTCGTCCAATTATCTTTGAACTATTTTACGTTCACTCATGTGGATGGTGAAAAGACATATGATGTTAACAGCAGCAGGTATAAAAGTAGACTTGTCTCACAGTCCCTGAATCATATTATTTTCCTTTCCGCCCAGCCCTTTCTGTCATAGAAAAGCCATAAATGAAACAAGTCAAGATTTTCCCTCAGGTTAAGGATCTCCCATCTCCTTTCCAATTGAAAAGGAGTTGCTTGGTTCTATCAAAATTATATATTGTGTTGGCTTAGTGTTGGCTTAGTATGAAAAGGAAGGGCCTCACTGTTGGACATATCCAGTAGCTACTTGTTTTCACATTGTCAGTTATTCCAAGAGATGACTTTATTCCACTGCATACAGTGCGATTGTAAATATATAATAAAGCTGTTATATTATCAAATAGATCAGTTTTTCTTTGTATGAATTGACTTGTGAATTGTAAAGACAGCAGTGACAACAGTAGTAGACGTCATGGTATCCAGAATGATTAGAATAGGACCTACACCAAGAGATCAGAAGGGATCCAGCAAAAAGGGCAATATCCATTTTAAACATAATGTTCACCTCTAAAACTTTGTGTTTTTAGGTGTCTTTATTTTAACTGGTGAATCTTCTCACTGGTTTCTTTTGATAAGTTTTATTACAAGAAGCATTGATGGAAATGTATTAACATGGGTTTTGTTTATCCTTAGTTGAAATGGTGAGTCTTCTTTTGGATTTCTTTAGGAGACTTATCAGAGCTCCAGATAAACTTTTGGTGTTGTGGGTATTTTACCCATGCATTTTAAAATCATTGGGTATCAGTAATTCTATCTGGGTATTCAAATTTCTGTTACCCACTAGTTTTCACACATGTTGGTAATTAAGTTAAATATTTAAAAACACTATTCATCTAGTCCCTGCAAACTGGTGTCGTGTGGGTTCGAGAGCTTTATAGGACTAAAAAATACCACGATACTTCCACAAGAAAGTGTGATGGCAAATGATCGTGATGTAACTGTCATCGTGGAGTTAGGCAAGGTTGATGAAATGCCCGTTTATAATTTCAAAATAAGTTGCTGATTTGCTAATCGAATACGCATGGTTACTTCACAATATTTGATGATACGCACAAGTTTTATTTTTGTAGCGTATCTGTAATGTTCGTTGCGTATTTGATACGCTTGGATTTTATTTTACTGCGTATTTCTGATGCGTATTTTACGCAGATACGCAGCTTATCTGGAGCTCTGGACTTATCATTAAAAGACGTAAGCAGCATTACAAAACAAAGCAGTAGCAATGAGAACACATTTATAGACTCCAGGGACATTGTTTATTTTCCACTTGATCAACGAATAGTCTTCATAATTTCAACCGTGCAACTTCAGTATCTGGGAAATCGTCAGTGGATGTCGGATAGCTAAAACTTCAGTTCTGACACTGTGGTGTGTATCTTGGAACCGAGACTGTTCCAACCCACATAATATTGACTGGCTCGTTCCATTAGAGGGCAAGGGTTGGATTGCTGCATGTAGTGCTTAACAGAGCGTATATAAGAGGCTGTTCGGGAGATCTTCAGAAGTAGGGAGGAACGAACACAGCTGGATGCACAGCCATGTCTTACAACACTCTCCCTTGCTGGACGGCTTTTTTGGTGTAATTTAAAGATAAGGCTATTGGGTAATCATGAAGATATTTGGAAGTTTTAATATATACTGAACCAAATTAAAAACTTCACAATCCTAAAATTTTAACATTTTGACCAGTTATCATTGTGGGCCCTTATTGTGTATTTAAACAGTAATGGCCACGTATTGTCTTCAGATAACACCCGTTTTTGTGCAGGTGAATCGATCAAAATCATGTGCACAGCACTATAGTGGCAAAAGTGGTTTTACACGTGCAACTGGTCACGTGGCCATAATACCGCACGTGTTTTCAGCAATACTTGTTAGCAGTCATTAACAAAAAAAAGAAAAACAAAAGTCTTTACTGCCATTTGTCATGCCACGCCTTTCAAATGTGCAACGTGAACGTGCCATCGGCATGTTGCAGACGGGAACGTCCGTAGCTGAAGTCGCAAGGACGATGGGTTGTAGTCGACGGACTGTTTATGATTTACAGACGCAAACGGGTACCACCGCTGATCTCCCTCGGCCATGTCGACCACGTGTGACGTCACATGCAGAGGATCGTCAGATTGTCTTACGTCACCTCCGTGACCGATTTTTGACGGCAACATCAACCAGAAATGAACTATTTAGGGGTAGACTGAGTGCGCAAACTGTTCGAAACCGTCTGAGAACTGCTCACCTTCAAGCACGACGGCCATACTGCGGGCCGATTCTGACTAAATTACTCAGACGTCAACGTCAGTTGTGGGCACAGCGACACTTACGATGGACTCAAGTCGTCTTCAGTGATGAATCCCGATTTAATCTTCGATTTGCTGATGGTAGGTCGAGGGTGTGGAGGCGCCGTCATGAACGTTACGCCCAGTGTTGTGTACAGGAAGTTGACAGATTTCGAGGCGGAAGTGTCATGGTGTGGGGTGCTTTCTGTGGCAATGCACGTTCCAGGCTTCTTGTCATCCGTGGAAACCTCAACGCTGCTGCTTACCGCGACCAGGTACTGGTACCAGAACTTCTGCCTTTTATGGCAGCACATGGACCCGGTTTGATCTTCCAACACGACAATGCCAGACCCCACACAGTAATTGTGACAAGGAATTTCCTTCAGAATGCGGGAGTCAACGTCATGGACTGGCCGTCAAGGTCTCCCGACCTTAATCCTATCGAACACGTCTGAGATGCTCTTGGCAGAAGTCTGCGCACTCTTCAGAACCAACCACAGAACTTGCAAGATCTTGGCACCATTTTGCAGCAACAATGGCGTCGTCTTCCCAATCATGTGTTCACAAGCATCACAAGGTCCACGCGGAGGCGTTGTGTGTCAGTTGTCAACGCACATGGTGGCCATACACGCTACTGAACTTGTGTGCCATCAGATTCTCGTGCTTGGGACGTGGTGGGTGTGGTGGTAGCCTCGTGGCTAAACCGTTCGCTCGTCAGGCCGCCCTGATGTTGCTGTAATATTTCTTTGAATAAGTGGATTTTAAAATATTGACAAACGCCTTTCTCCAGTTTGAAGAGATAAGAAAACAAGGTCCGAATATTTTGCAATTTGGTCAGTGCAGAGGTGCGATGTTGCCTTATTCAAGTTCACTACGTTTCTAGCAGTACATTTGGCTTGGATTTACGCTTTTGTTGAACAGTCCGTGACGTAGGTTTTGCTCTACAGATCTCTTCAGTATGCAACTCTGAGTGTGATTTGACTGATCTTTTCTTGGTTTTTGGTTGAGCATGTCTGTCGAGCAATGAAATTAGTGTGGAGTCCTACAAGTCAACAGGACCGTCTACATCATGTGGCGGGTTGGTACGGAGCTCGGACTATAGCAGGTCGTTTCTTTATTCTGACTTAGAAATAATCTTCATACTGCTGCTATGTAGTATTTGCCATTTACTTTCAGGTATTGTAAAGTTCAATATTATCTTTTTCCAGAACTCATGTGACATCTGTCGACCGTCCATAGATAAGGATCTGATGAGGGAATGTTATGATGCAAATGAATAAAATGTCCACCGACATTGGTGGAGTTATTGGCATGTGGCTTCAATCCATGTGAATCCAGGATCCATTTAACATAAGCCTTATTGGGCTCACCAAAATAAGTGGTGAGTGATTGAGTGAGTAAATTGGGGCAAAGGCGTACATATACTCACAAGCAAAGGAAACGCAAGTCGAGTATGCAGTATACATGTTATTTATTTTCAACAGTAAACACAAGAAATACTAATAGGGCAAGATTGACAAAGATTTGACTGAAGACAGTTTAATGGATTAAAAGGCAGATGACATAAAAAAAAATTCAAATGTTAAGGGCTTACACAGTTTCGGGTCAATACCCAAAATGTCAGTCAATACCTGGTGTGACCACCATTAGCATTGATCACTGCCACACATCTCCTGTACATTGAGTGGATCAGTTCATCGGCAGTTGTAGGGACTTGGCGCACATTGTGCAGACGCCTTTGAACCTCATCCCACAAGTGTTCGATGGGGTTCAGATCAGGGCTGAGGGCTGGCCACGGTAGAACACGGATGTTGTGTTGTTGCAAAAAGGCCATGGTAGCTCTGGCGACATGGGAACGAGAGTTGTCCTGCTGGAAAATGTGTTGTTGATGTGCAAAAAATGGAACAACGTCGGGTCTGATCACTTGGTCGATATACCGCTGAGCATTGACGCCGTGTCCCCGACCTTGACCAACATTCAGAAAGCACATGGGTCCAAGTCTCGCATTAAGTCCAATCCCTGCCCATATCATGACGCTAGGTCAACCCCATGGACCCCTTTCCACAACGTTTCTGTCAGCGAAACGATCACCTCGACGCCGCCAAATTCTGACTCTTCCGTCTGAATGGGAGACACAAAAGCGACTTTCATCAGAGAAGATGACACGCCTCCACTCACGATGACGCCAATTGTGATGACCCTGTGCCCACTGAAGTGCTTGTCGATGCCGTGGTTGGAGAACAGGACGACGTGCTGGTCGGCGACATCTGAGGTTGTTGGAACGGAGACGTCGGATCACAGTGTCCCGGCTAATGTGTCAATTATGTGTTCCTATGGTCTGTCGAGCACTTTCACTTGCAGTTAGGAACGGATGTCGCTGGTGTTGACGGGTAATCTGCCGATCTTGTCGAGGTGTGGTGACCCTAGGAGGACCGCCCCGAGGAAGGTCATCTGTGGTCTGCATTGTATCGATGCAGGAGACGGTAAATTGTGGTTATGTTAACGTTGAAATGACGGGCAACATCTTGGACAGACTCTCCAGCTTCCAAACGTCCGATAGCCTGGTTTCTCTGAATTTGAGTTAGGCGTGGCATTGTTGACCAAGGACTGGTAGGTCCAAGAATCGGCCACAGTTTTAAACCCACTACAGTTCGTGACAGTTCGTGCATTTTCGATTTCGCATGAAATGGGTGCATGATACCCACATATTAATTGAAATGTTGCGTTTTTACTCGGGGCTTCCAAAATGCAACCAAAAATATTGATAACACCATCAGGCTTCACTACATGCTAAAACTTCACTACAATATATGGTTCTGTGTTTGTTACCTATTTGCTTAAAACCACTTGCGGTTTATTTTGCGTGTGAGTATAGATTGGGGTTAACACTGCGTTGAACAGTATAAGAAATCAAGAAACAATCGGGGCGATGAATGTTGAAGTCACCTAGAAGAAGACTTTACCTTCCAGGCATTTAAGATCCAAAAAGGGAAGACAAATCTTCAAAGAAACTGGCAGAAGTTTGTTTCTTTGCCTGTGAAGATGGTGGTCTATACATGCAAGTG